TCATTAGGCATTTTTACATATGTGTGAACCATCCCCATGGTCACCTTAGTAACACTCAAGGATATTTTGTTTATTATGTCTCTGTATCGTTGGGGATTGAACCCAGGACTGTGCACTGGAGGCAGGAGCTCTACCACTGTACCATCGCCCTAGACCCTCTTCAACGATTTAGGTCTTTAATTTCTTTCAATAATGTAAATGTTCACAGTGTAAGTTTTAGACTTCTTTTGTTGAGTGTGTTCAGAAGTGTGCTATTCTGGGATTTGGCGAAGTGGTAGAGGTCTAGCACGGACAAGGCCTTGAGTTCAGTGCACTACAGAAACAAGATGTTATTTTTTTTTTATGCATCAAAAGTGAGAGTTTTAAAAGATTTTGAATTTTATTTTGGATTATTCAATGCAGGCACACAGAAATACAATTGCTGCTTGTTACTGAATTAGTTTCCTAAAGCCTTGCTGGGTTTGTTTGCTCTGATGCTTGTTTGAGTTTTGGTGCACAGTATATCATACACCTGGGAAAAGACAACCCCCCTCCCTTCCCTCCCTCCTCTCTCCCTTCCTTCCCTTCTGTTCTTTCTTTCAGAAACAGAGTCTTTAGCTTAGATTTTTTTCTTTCAATATGCATTGGTGTTTTGCCTACATGTATGTCTGTGTGAGGGTGTTGGGTCCCCTGGAACTGGAGTTATAGACAGTTGTGAGCTGCCATGTGGGTGCTGGGAATTGAACCTGGAGCTGGAAGAGCAGTGCTCTTAACTGCTAGGACATCTCTCCAGCTCCCAGACTGGTTTTAACCTTACTGAATAGCCAAGGATGACCTCTGAACTTCTGATCCCCCTGACTCCACTCCTCAAGTTCCAGGATTACAGATGAATGCCATCACACTCTATTTATTCAGCGCTGTGGGTCAAACTCAGGGCTCTGTGTGTAGTAGACAGGCATTCTACCAAATGACCCACATCATCACAGCCTGTGGGGAGTGGATGAAGTCCTGAGTGAACGTGTATTAATGACATGAGCATATCCATATAAAGGACCCAAGTGCCTCAGACCCATGGCAGTCTTCCCTTGGTTAAAGTCCAGATGTTGACAGTTGTGCAGTGAGTGTCAACCACAGCCTTCTCCTCCCATTGACTGCAGCCTGAGACTGCTCTTCTACAGAGAGCCCCACTGAGACTTGCTAGCACACACCCTGTTCAGCTGTATATAATGAACCCACCTCCTTAATGACTGTATATAAACTTGAGTTTCTGGGCTGCTGTGGCATCTCCATCCGAACACGTGGCCCACCTGATCCAAGCTTTTCCTTTCCTTTCACCCCAGTCAGGACAGTCTCAAAGCCCAAGTTTACTTTTTCAATCTATACCCCTCTTTATGTGTTTCTTGCTTAACCATCCTGACTAGAACACAGTCCAGTATTAAACATGCATGGCCAGCCAGGCATGATGATGTGCCCCCAGGAGATGGAGGCAAGAGGATTAGGAATGTTTTTGTTTTTGTTTTTCAGACAGGGTTTCTCTGTGTAGTTTTGAAGCCTGTGCTGGAATTAGCTCTTGTAGACCAGGCTAGTCTCAAACTCAGAGAGATCAGACTGCCTCTGCTTCCCAAGTGTGGGACTAAAGGCATGAGCCACCACTGCCCAGGAGAGGATTAGGAATTTAAGGTCATCTTCAGCTACACAGCAAGTTTGAGGCCAGCCTGTATTGCATGCATACCTGTCTCAAAAAACAAACACAAAATAAAATAAAAGTTAGAAGTGACCAGAATGTACATCCTTATCCTGTGCTTGTTCACTGGGCAAGTAACTAATCTTTCATTATTGTGATGTTAGGTATGGTTTTCCATAGATGCCTTTGGGTGTAGGGTAGGGCCTGATTTTATAAATAAAGTTTTATCCAAACACAGCATTTACATATAGCAATGGCTGTAATGGCAATTGAGTCAGTGTGACAAAGAATATAATTTTTAAGCTTAAAATGTTTCTCTTTGGTCCTTTAAGAAGTCCATGGGAGTGTTTTTAAATTTTGGGTTAGTTTGCTAGGAAGCAATATATAATAAAAATGACTTCTACTCTTAGACTATGGAAAGATAATTTGTGAGTCGAAACAAAGAAAGGACTTAGGCCAAAACACAAGAGGAGAAAAGATGGAAAGCACAGAAGAAAGGGATGGAGTGGTTTGATTGAAGTCCCCGAAGCAAAGAGATCTAGAGACCTGTTCAGTCTGGATAACAAACCATTCTAAAGGGTAGCCATGCAATGGTGGAAATCCACTTCACTATGTGTTGTCTGCTGGAAGAAGTACCTCCTCCATGTGTGTAGCTGCCTCAGACAAGGGTTCTGCCTCAGACACTGAGCTTGGGAGAACAAGGGCTTGGGTGAGCCAGGTTGGAATGTAGCCTCTGCCCATTTCCTAGCCAGGCCACCTGGAGAAGGCTCCAATCTGCAGCATGTCCAGTCTCTCTGTTTCTGTCTGCCCCCCCTCAAATTAGATTTATTTCTTTGTGTGTATGAAGTGGGGGAGGTGATATGTGTGTCACAGGGTGAGTTTGTTTGAGTCAGGGAACAAATTAAAGTCACCAGACTTGGCCACAAGACCCTTTACCTGCTGAGCCATTTTACTGGCCCTAATCTGCAGCTCTCTCAATGAATAAGCTAGAGATAGAAAAAAAAAAAAATGGATGCTACATTACAGTTGTGAGCATCCAGACACCCGTGCTATGGGAACATACTTTGTGGAACCAAGTGCTTTAAGATCAAGATGTGGTTTGAAATCCATCATAGGCATAAAAGGATGATAGCACTGGCTGTGCAATTTGCAGAAATTGGTGCATAAAGAACACACAGGGCCCCTGGTTGATAAGTTACTATGTCAAGATGACCACAACAGTATTCTAAATGGAGCACCGGAGACTTTCTAAAAAAAGGAAACATCCATGAAGTCAACCTTAGTGACCAGACCTGCAAAGAACTGCTCCATGCTTCAGGTTTGGGCTTCTCCAGCCACATCCAGGACATCAGGGCTTAGGGAAAATGCCGAGGAGGCTAAGTTTGGTGGCCAGAGTGGTTTTTCTGGGTGAGTGGGTGGGGCTAGCCAGGCTGTCTTTGGAACTGGGAACTGTAGAACTGACTGTTCCCCACACACTCTGGCCCAGAAGGAAAAAAAAAAAAAAAAAAAAAAGCCTGCAGCTGTATCTACAGCGCCTGTTGTTGTTTGCTGTGGTATGTTACAACATGGCCTGGCAGCCTCGCGGGCTTTTCTTCCTCCTGGAAGAGTCTCCTCTCGTAACATGTGACAAGTCCACACAACCCTGCAGATTGGCCCACACTGCCCCTAGCTGCTCATTCAGTTCCTAAACAGTTTCAGGTCTGCATGCTTTGTTAGCGCTTAGCTATCCCTGCCAGCCTTCTGGGAGAGCCCTTCACTCTTCTATGTAGACGTGTACCACAGGACCGGAGCATTACTCAAGTGTGGATGCCCCTGGCTGCTAGCTTGGATGGAGCCTTCACTGGCTGGTACAGTGCCTCCTCACCTCCGTGTGCCCTCCTCCACAAGCAGCACACTTCTTGATCTCTGTAAGGGTAGCAGATGCAAAACCAACTGGCATCAGTGAGTGGGACAGGTGCTCTCCACTTCATGCTGTTGAATTCATGTAAATGGCTTGCTTGCTGCTCTCCTGGGAGGCTGGTTAAGGGGGAGTTTCCCATCACTGAGACAGGACCCCTGCTTAAGAGGAGGTTCCTGTGTCCGTTTTCTCTTTTCTGCAGAGGTCTTTGAAGACAGGAAAGGAATGACCATCCCCCAGCATGGTGACATATAGAAGGTCTTCAAGTATTCTAAAGTATGACAATGAAACAAAAATAAATAAGATGAAAGCAGACACAGAGCCAGAAAACATAGATTTTTTCATGTGGCTATGAGAGATTTCCCTAGGTAATTGGGATTTTTAGTTGAGAGAAAGAGACAGAGAGAAAGAGAGAGAGAGAGAGAGAGAGAGAGAGAAAGAGGGGAAGAGTAAGAGGAGGAGGAGGAAGAGAGAAAAGAGGAGGGAGGGGACAGAGGAAGAGGAGGGAAAGGGAGGGGAGGAAAGGGAGGGAGAAAGGGAGAGAAAGAGACAGACAGAGAGTTGTCTATAGAGATCGCCTAGCCGTTAACAGCACTCATTGGCCACTCTCTCAGAGGACCTGGGTGCCACCCGCAGCACCCACTTCTGGCCTCTGCTGGGCACTGCACTCACACGGTGCACAGGTATACATGCAGGCGAGACACTCAAACACACACTCTTTTTTTTTTTTTTTTTTTTTTTTTTTTTTTTTAAGAAAAAAATCTTTTAAAACCGGACAGTTTGCGCTAAAGTCCCCAGGTGCAGCTCCTGAATGTCTATGGGAGTCACCCCGGGTTGGCCACGTGGCTGGGGGAGGGGTGTCGTCTTGAAGCTGAACTAGCTCAGCAGCCCATCCTTTGGGCTCCTTTCTGTCCTTGTCACCTGGGCTATTGTGTTGGACAGGCAGAGGCCCCAAGGGAGAGCGTGGTCACGCCCATTGGATGTCCCAAGAGAGGAGCTAGGTACTATTTTGGATTTTCCCGGTCTCTAAGGAGCATCTTCGAGTTCATGAGGTTGTTTTCTGGGGTCAGCACGGCCTGACCCCTTCAAGCTCGTGAAGGAAGGGCCGGGCGGACGGACAGGCAGGGCCGAGGCTTAGCAGCATTTTGTCTGGAGGCAAAGGACGACGCCAAGAGGTGTCAGTCGGCTTCCTCCATCCCTCCTCTCCGGCCCCCACAAAGGGCAAGGGCCAGACACGTGGGCTGCGGTGGAGAGGCGGAGATGCAAACGAACGGGGCGGGGCCTAATTTGCATAGGCAGTGCGCGGCCACCAATGGGGACCTGCGGAGCGACAGCCCGCGCGCCTTTTGGGGGCGGATTGACAGTCCCACGGCCCTATGGAAGTCGGATCCTGCGGCCGGTGGGGGCGGGGCGACGCCGGGCGCTGCCCGGCGCACTAGCCGGCTCGCGGGCGCTGCCAGTCTCCGGCGGCGGTGTCCGGCGCGCAGCTGAGCGACGGAGGTGCGGACTGGCGGCCTGCTGGGCGGGCTGAGAGGCTGAGCGGTACGCGCCGCGGAAAGACGCGGAGCCCGAGACGCGGCGGTGACGGCGCTGGTGACGGCGACAGGTACGGGCGCCATGGCCGCGGGGATGGGGCGCGCGCGCGCGGTGGACCCGGGAGTCAGCCGTGCGCTGGCGATCCCGCCTCCGCCGTCCCTCACGCGGCTTCCCCGGGGCGGCGTGGACGGTACGTGCGGGAGACCCGGGCCCCGCGTGGTAGGCGGAGCGGCCGGTGCTCCCCTCAGCGATGGCTCAGCGCGGCGCCGGCTTGCTCGCCCGCCCGACCGCCCACCCGCGCGCGGCTTTTGTTTCCCGCGCTGCCCACAGGTCCGAGTCGCCCCGTGTCGCCTCGCCACGCCGCCCGCCTGGCGCGGAGGAAACTTGGCCTTCCGGAGCCCCCGCGAGCCCGCGGATAACGGAGCGCCCCTTTGCGTCCGCAGGGCCGCGCGATGGGCGTGCCGCACGGGCGCCGCCCTCACCTGCCGGTCCCGGGTCCGCTCGCTCGGGGCAGGCAGGTGACCTGCGGGGCTCGGAGGTAGACGGAGGAGGAAAAGCAAATTAAAAGTTCTTTTCGGAGTTGCAGAGGTGGTTGAACGGGCATAGGCGCTTGTCGCCAAGTGTGACGACTTGAGTTCGATCCCCGGAACCGACTCCGGAGAGTCGTCCTCTGACCTCCACGTGTACAAGACAGACACACACACACACACGCACACGCACGGACGCTCACTCTCTCTAAGTAATAAATAAAAGTTGTTTTAGGAGTCTTCATACTCTTCAGCCCTGGGACATCACAACTACTGTCCCAGCCAAAGCCCAGGACTCCGAACCCAGCATATTTTTGTGAGTGTGTTTGCGCGCGCGCGTGCGTTTGTGAAGCAAAAAGAGCACACTGCATTATGATCATCTTCATCATCATCATCGCTGTGGATGAGCCAGGTGGAACGCTTGAGCCTCGGTTTTTAAATAATGGGTTTCTGCGGTGGCGGTGGCGAAAGCTCTGGGAGGTACAGGTCGTAAGCAGAGCGTGCAGGGCTCGGGACACTGTGTACCGTGCTTGGCTGCCATTCAGTCAATTCTGCAAGCAGCAGTTGGGAGGTGGTGGTTTTGGTTTTTTTTTTTGTTTTTTTTTTTTTTTTCCAGGAGACTGTTTTTCAGCGGACTAAGACTGAGCATTGAATGGGCACTTTCTTTGCCTTCTCTAGGGGTAGGAGAGAGTGTTTATTTTCATTGTATTTCCATTTTCTTAGGGTAGAGGACAAGGGAAAAGTTAAGGTGTATCTGTCTGGGTTAAGAATTTGTCCCTTCTTTCCAGCTTCTTGCTGTTAGTGTTTGTTATCTGATTATTATTATTATTATTATTATTATTATTATTATTATTATTATTATTATAGAATTGTAGTAACTCCTACTCTTGGTGTCTGAATCAATGGATTGTATGACTTAAAAAATATTCTGATGGGACATTCTTACTCTGTAGTACCCTTCACTTAACTGTTTTCTGTTTGCCTCTCTCCCAGCTGTCCGGTATGTGTCGAACACTCTTCTAACAGCTTTCACTTTGGGGATTCTACAGAAATGGCATATTTTAACTATTTTTAAATTCAAAAGTTAATAACATTCATTCATTGTTAGAAAAATGTGTTTTGGTTTTCTTCCTTTCTCACTTCTAACGTGTCTTGTGTGGGAACTGCATTGGGTGTAATCTATACTTCAGAGAACAGTTAATTTTTATTTAATTACACTAATTAATTGAATGGTCATTTTATTCATCTAGATAATTTGAGTTAGCTATTAGTTGGGACCACTTGAGATTATTTTTTAAGTTAATGTGGGAGTATTCTTTTTAAAATGTTTTAAAAACAGGGAGTTTATACATTAATGAGGTTTTTGCCATTCCAACATTTTTAAAAGTATGCTTCTCAATATTTACTTTTCAGTAACTTGACATTTGTGTGGATTTATTTTCATCCTTTTTAAATTATTTATTTATTTATTTATTGTCTGTGTTTGTGAGACAGGGTTGGCACAGGTGTGACCATCAGAGGACAACTTTGGAGTTGGTTTTCTCCTTTTATAATGTGGGTCCTGGAGTTCAAATTTAGGTGGTCCATCTTAGTGGCAAGTGACTTTATGTGCTGAGTAATCTCACCAGCCTGGATTTCTTTATAAGACACAATTTAAATTACTTCAGTATGAAAAACCTCCAATTTGGGTTTAGGCAAGTCAGTTGATTTTCAGATTCTTTATTCTTGGATTGGAAAAGTGTGCATGTTCTGTGTTGTTAGTTTGTAAAGGATTTCAGCCTGGAATGGAGGATTTATTATCTTATCCTATCATGCTGCTTAAATGTACCAGATGTCATAAGTCACATTACTTTTTTTGTATTTAAAATTTATTTATTATTTTATCTGTATTCGTGTGGCTGTGTGCCATTTGCATGCATGGTGCTGGCAGCATCAGAGGCCAGAAGAGGGCATTGGAGGTCAGGAGTTGAAGTATGGGTGCTGGGAATCAAAGTCTGACAGTGAAGAGCAGCCAGTACCTTTGACTTGACTGCTGAGCTGTCTCTCCATCCCTTCGCACACAGTTTTATTTCATCTTCATACACAAAAGCATGTGTGGTGTGTGCTTGAACTAGAAAAGTACCTTTAAGCGAATGTCCAGGTTTCAGGCATTTTAATTACTGATTTTTGTTTACTTTGTCTATTTGTGGTAGACCAGATCGTAGGATTATCAACCACATTTCACTTTCAAAATAAAGTACAAGTTGATTCTCACGTCTGCACACGGCACAGGAACACACACACAGACAGAGAGACAGAGCTTGGGGCTGTTTATTAGGCAGTTACCTTCAAGTGTAGCTCCTTTTGAGTCTGGATATTGTTGGTAGTTTCTTTTTTTCCTTTTCCCTGCCCTCCTTTCCTCCCTCCCTTCTTTTTTTTTCTACCCAGAGCCTTGTGCTGGGTAGACAAGTGCTGTACCCTTAAGTGACTAATGTAACTGACATAAAGAACACGTTCCACAGGCCTTTAGTATTGTCATGATTTCCAAAGAAGATTCTGTTGTGCATATTTTGACACTCTAAGTTCTGTAATTAATGCATACTGATCAGATATCTCCATTTTGTAATTCTCAAGCTTTTGAGCTTACCAGCTTATCCAATCAGTAATTAGTTTTTTTTTCCATTATTTTATATTTCTGAAGTTTTCTGAAGTACATTTTAATGCTTTTTAATTTATTTCCCTTTGCTATTCTGGGGATTCAGCCCAGGGCTTTATGGATGCTAGACAAGTGATCTACCACTGAGCTACAATGCCAGCCCTTTAGTGCATCTTAAAGTTCTGACATACTTGCCACCTCACTTTCAAATAAAGTACAAGTTGATTCTCACATCTGCACATGGCACACGAACACACACACACACAGACAGAGATTGGGGCTGTTTATTATTCAAGACTGGGTGGATGATGATACATAAGTCCTGTATCTATTGATTTAAAACAAGGACTACTAAAAAAAAATAAAAAAAAAAATAAAACAAGGACTACTTATGTGTGAGTTTACTTGCATACAATATATTTACTTTGTATAAAAGACAGTTCTGTAAGAGAGATGGGCTAAAATAATTTATTAGAAACCAGATCTGTTGACAGGTTACTAGCAGTTGTACGTAACGGATTATTAAGGATATTATAGTAATATTTAGAGCACTAAAACTCCACTATTCAGAATAATTTGTGCTTCTTCATAGCTTGTTAAGAGATCTGACTTGTGCTGTGGGGAATATACCCCTTTTTACTCCCAACACCCAGGAAGCAGAGGTAGTCAGACTTCATATGGAGTTCCAGGCCATATGTATAAGACTGTAGTAGGGCCCCTGTCTGTCCCAAAACAACACCTCTAACAAAAATCCACCAACGATAATTGTCTTACATCATATGCTTTAATTAGTATTTACTATTAGTCTTTTAGGAAAAATTTAATTAATTAGCGTGAAGGACCACCAGAGGGAGTGTAGGATCTACACATTTGGTATGCCTGTTTTATTTACACTTGGTCTGAAAGCAAAACATTTAAAAAGTAAGAAAAAGTTTTATTTTAGTTCTTTGGAACCACCAAGAGAACCATAGTGAAAGTTACAGGTTTTAGATATTTGGGATTGCTATTTTTTTGTAACAAAGCTCAAGGCCTCATCCAGACTTTTTCTTCTTCTTCTTCTTCTTTTAGAAGAAGGTTCAGTTATTAGAGAAATGAAAATGATACATTATGGGAGTGAAATAATGGGTTTCTAAGTGAGCAGTCATACTACAGCTGTGAAAGGGAACATCCACAGGCTCAGGATGTTTCTTCATCTTTTAAGTGTGGTACGTTTGCATTGTATAGTTTTGAAATTGCTCAATGTTTGCAAAGTAGAGTACAAGATGGAGAGAGATCAAAGACTAGAAGAGGTGCATTTTCCCTTTTCTGGTTGTAAGCCTTCCTTTGGTGGCCAGCGGTAAATTTCTAGAACTATCCATAGCATTCTGTGTCTATCTTTGCTACCATTAAATGTATCCCTGAAAATGTTCATGTGGATGTCAGAACAGGGTTGCAAATTTCAAATTTATCTTTTAAAAATAAATTTATCTTTTGTTTTAAAGGAGAAATAAGATATGTGATTCTTACTCCAGCATCCTTCAAGCTTGACGTGGTGTTATACTATTTTTTTTCTTTTTTACTAAAAATTACTATGATAGGAATTGTAATGGTAAGTAGGTTATCTAGAGAAGCCAACAAAGCACTTACTTTTCACCCTTAATATAGTAATTAATGTCGGAGGATCATTTAAGATTTGGAGGGTTGGTTTTAATAGGCTGTAGTTTGAGTGATGAAGTGTAGTCTTTACTTAGATATGTTTGTGTTTCTTAATGTTTGTGTCTCTGGAAATGAAGTCCTTTATTGTCAGCTGAAAACTACACAGTAGTATATGATGGGGACAATGTCTCTATCATGGACTGAATGTTCTGGTATACTACTTTTTGGACTGGAGACTTAGTCATTATCAGCATATATTCTGAATAGGCATGG